TTGAATCAAACACTCCAACTCAAGGAAAAATTGAAAACAAGGCCCTGCTCATCAAGGAAAATATCACTAGTTCCCATTTTGATTAAAAATGAGGAAGAGAGACAAGGGAGAGCAGACTAGAACTTTTTGCAATGACTCAGTTGGGATTTATAACAGAAGGAGGAAGTTTTCCAGAAGTTGTGTTTGAAGTATAAAGAAATGTGTTGCTGGCATATGAATACCAGACAGGCTGACAGCACTATTAGAGGTAGAAATGATGTGCAGAATAAATAGCCACTAAATGTAGTGACAACTTTGAGTGACAGATGAAGAATAAAAATGAACAATTTTCCTGATAACATGTCAGGAAACAAATGCCTCTTTCTTTCAGAAGAAAAAAGATATATATGGTTGCAAATTCAAGTGGCCTCCCATCTGGTGAACTTCTTATACCCTTGCAGAACTATAATTTTGGCCCAGAATGGAGCAATCCTTTTGTAGAAATTGTTACCTCTTCATTTTATTGAAGGTTTACAACAGTTTATTCAGACTGTTTCTGTCCAGTTTTAACAATGTGTTTTATACTAACATTGTCCTGTCTACTGCATAATAAAAAATCCAAGAATAGATTAGGCATTGCTGTTTTCTGTAGGACAAAGGTCATTATAAGTTCAAGATGTACTACCCAGAGCATATTTGCATCAGCTTTTATACCAAAAATGTTTTAGAATTGATCTCCTTAAATAATGATAATATTGCTTCTGTATTAATTTAATTTTGTCAAAAATAAATAGATGATATGAGAAAGATCTTTAAATTATTTAGTACATGTCTGTATCAGATGATCAATAAAATCTTGCCTTTGCCAACACAATGAACTTGACTGCATATTATTTAATCTTTCCAGTAATTTTTGGAGTGGATCAAAAGCAAAAAGGAAAATGACTGGCCTCCTTCTTGGGCTACTTTTATACAGGTCCACTAGGCAATGGAAATTCCATGGTGACAGCCCTTCATTTTGAGGATCCATGTTTCTGGAGATATATTTTCATGAAGGTCCCTTTATACTTAGCAAAAAAAAAAAAAAAAACATTAATTCACTAATGGAAATTACTTAACTTCTCTCCCCTGTCTTGAAAATCTTATATCAAATATCAGACCCACCATTTGGTTTTGGCTAAAAATAGTGGCTGAATAGCACCAAAACCTATGAGCTTCAATCATAGGCGTAAACATATTATGGACTTAATCAGCCCAGTTCTGAGAATTCCTAGCAAAGCAGAATATAATTCAAATAAATGAGTCTCAAGGGACCCTTTCTATTTTTCAAAAAAATCGATTATAGCCATGTTAACATGTGCTATTGTTTAGGGGATTCTCACTTCTGCCCATAAATTCCAAGAAATAAGTTGAAATTTTGCTTTCACATGCTGTTACATTCCATTATTTCTGCATTGAATTTTCATAATTGTTTCCACTGAGTGAAAAGATCTGAAATTCCACTTTGCCCAAATTTCAAATTTGATCTTTGCATAATGTTAAAAAAAAATTATCTTTGACAAACAATAGTCAGGGTGTATTTTTGTCTTACGTTTAGTGTCCAAATTAGAAGTACACAATTCACAAGACAAAGCCTTGGCCAAGAGTTTCCCTCCTGGCCATCAGAACTTCCTCTTGCCTTCTCACCTTCTCACCTCCTCCACTATGGTAATTTCAAGTCCATCGTCCCACCTGTTCCTATATGCTGGGCATTTGGAGTCTGAATTAGCTATATGACATGACAGTTCATCATCTGCCTGACCCTCAAGGATCACTCTTAGCACCTGTACCATGATATCTTTAAAACTAATAATAATCACAGATGTAATTTATTGAGCAATTACCAAGTGCTGAGCACCATGAGAAGTGCTCTATATCCATTATTTCATTTATTTCTCATCACAATCCTGTGAGCTATTGCTATTCCTTGTGACATATGAAGAAACTGAAGTTTAGAAAGATTAAGGGGACATATGATAGGAGTGGCCGTGCTTGGATTCAAACCCAGACCAGCTCATTGTTGTGAGAATTAATCACTCTCCCCATTCCCAAAAGTGGAATCTGAGAAGCACATGGACATTACCTAAGAACTGAGTTGAGTGCCTAATAAACTAGGTTTCTCTCAGATTCTCTTTGTACTGACTAATGAAGAGAGAGGCCTTTAGGGAATATGAGCCAGCAAAGAAGACCTCTGTGGGGCTAGGGGATAGCTCAATGGTAGAGAGTGCTTGGAGCTATCTGCCTAGCCCCACAGAGATGGTCTTTTATTCAGTTTTGTGTTCACTGCAATATTCAGCAAAAAGTCTCAATGAGGAAGGTTCCGTTGAAAATTGTATTTATTGAATTGAACCTCCATAATCATAGAAAGGACCCAGAAAACTCCACTGAGATCTGCCCTGAAGTTCACTCTGGCCTCCTTGCCCACATATAATTAAACTCATTCAAAATAAATTTTATAATTATTCCTTTTTCAATATTTCCTGATTATAGGTTGCATATTGGGAAAATATTTAATTAAAATACTTAACAAATATTCTGTATGCTTAAGTATATTTTATTAGCTTTAGAATAAAAGAAGTGTTGCAAGAGCATTGTTTTCTATATTCTCTTGAAAACACAAAACTTCAGCTTTATTATTATGGATTAAATTGGCTTTGGAAAAGGGGATAAAGAAAAACAAGGCAGCATTTATATTTGTTGTAAGAAAATTCATTTTGAGTTTTAAGAAATTAAATGTGACTTATAAGCGAAATTTTAGAAGACAATGTATTTGTGAACTGATACATAGTCCTACCCATAGACATGTAGACTATAAAAATTAGTGCTATAATTTCTGGATATTTAGAACTATAGCACCTTAGGAAATTATTTAATCATAACTCATTAATCATTTGACTCTGACCAATTTTGATTATTAAGATATCATCCTGACCCTTCAGTTCATAAGCGTGATGATTGGGTGTTCACGCTACTGTGTGTGATGTGCCTCCCTCTAAACTTGTTACAACATCAGCACATAACCTGTCTGACATGAAAAAAAATTTAATCCTATGAAAACACTGATCACAGTTTAAGCATTCTTAAATAAAAATGTAATTATATTTTGAGTGAAATCTTATGCATATTTTAGACTTTCATGTTGGACAATAAAAGCTATTAAGACTTTTTTTATAATTTTAATGCACATAGAGGAATGTTTGTAAAACATTTTATCCAAAGATAAAATGTACATTAGTTCATTAATATCTATTTTGCATTATGTTATGTGTATGTATGAATACATAACAACAAAGCCCACTATTACGTGCAGTGATAATACACCAATAAGAAATGATCTTTAAAATATTTCTTTTGCATGATACAAAATCATTTAGAAACACCTGCTTTCAAATTTTGAACAATTTTATCTAGTTTAAGTTTTTATGAATAATTATCATTAGCAATAGTAGTCAATGTTTACGGAATGCTTACATTTTGTGCTAGGCACCATTTTAAAAGCACTACACATTTCACAGACAGAATACTGAAATTCAAGAATGCTAGCAATATGCCCCAAATCAAACAGATAAGAAGTAGAAGAGCTATGATTCAAATTCATGTCAGTCTAACTGAATCCAAGTTTCTTTGCTTCAGAGCATTCTGTGCTACCTGCTAATAGTGAACAAGGGGACCATAATTCCAATTTTCATTACATTTTTCTCTAAATAGAGGTTAATAACACTGGTGCCAAAAAATTGTCAATTTCCTAGAACCAACAGACATTCTAAGCCTTACTAGCCTAAGAGTTATATAGTCAATAAGTCTATGTCCATGAACACAACAGTTAACATGACCCAAGTATAATTCTGCCTGATTTTACTGCTTTTATATAAATAGAAGAGCAAATTACTTCATTATATAAAGACTGTATCATCATAATTTATCTTTGAACTTCCTGAGAGTCAAGGCAACAAAGTAACTATGATAGGAGGCACAGTTTTTGTATGAAGACCTTGAGAAAACCACTTTTTGATACCAAATTCTAAAATAAGTGAATTATGTGACCAAAAACATTGGATATATTAAGAAACACACTAAAAATTGTATCAAATATCAGTTTTACAGAGAAAAGAGAATTGATATTTTTCTCCTACTTTCTGTGTGCCCTGCCTCTCTAAAAGTCAAAAAGGCAGCATAAAAGTATCATTCAGCAGCAGTCATTTTTGCAGTGGTATCACAGGGAATAGCAACAAATGTTCTATTGAAATTAAATTTTAATTTAGCTAAGAATGTACTATATGAATAAGAAATAGAAATATTAGGTCAACTCAATCAGGCTGCAGAATATGTAGTCACTCAGATGTTTTACCTGATGCCTGTTGTCCACTTAGTCTCAGTGTTTCTGTGAGTTCCACAATACCACATAAAATTATACAGACTGCATATTCTATCTTCCCTTTGAGTTAAAAGCCTTACTGGCTATTTATACATCCAAACAAAGCATCCTTTTGCTGCCCTGCAATATTTTCTCCTCATATAGCTGACAATCCTATATATATAGATTAATAGCTACTCTGTCTGCATATCCATTGGTCCTCACCAGCTCCTCCCTGACTGTTAACTCCAGTGACAGGCAGCCATAAAAACAGGCAAAGCCACCTGGTTTGACCTATTATGTTGAAATCCCTCACCCCCCACCCCCACTTTCAGCAGGTCAGAAGAGGACACTGAAGCCATCCTCATGCATGTTCATACTAAGAAAGCCACCTCTGAGCATTTGCTTTGTGGATGAGGTCACATTAACAGATAGAATAGAAGCAATATTATGAAGACATGTGGTCCTCGTCCTCATTAAGATAGCATGTAAAACACAGAACTAGATATGGTCCCTAATGAGAAAACTTAATTAGACATTTTAAATTCATAGTTATCATCACACATTCAAAAATAATCAGCAGCCGTCTTAGATACAAAGGGAAGGCAGAACACAGAGAATTGCTTACCTAGATCACAAAGGTACTGAGAAGCTTAATGCTTGTAAAGCACCTGGACTGAAGGCACAAAGCATCATCTTCTTATCATGTCACTGTAACAGATGTTCATGTCGTCCCATCTTCCATTAATTAGACTTAGATATTGTATGTGTTTGATGAATCTGAAATTGGTTGATGTGATTATAAGATCCCTCCATGGGCACTCTGTCCACAAATAAAATTGTCTTTATCCTATAAGAGAAAATATTTCTGTTTGAAAGAATTTATTTTTGTCATCAATGGGCTATAAACTCTGCGTTAGGCTTGTGATGAGCAAAATGTCTTTGAGTGCCAGTGCCTGTCTCAAAGGTGTTTTTTTTTTAAAAAAAAAAAAGAGAACAAAGACTCCATTTGTCCCACGTGATCCCATCTTATCTGTTATCTAGACTGTATTACTAGTTCAGATCCTTTACCGTTGGGTGAGTTGAGTTTAAAGGTAGATAAAATAAAGGTATAGTTACACTATGTAAACTGATCTGGGAAAAAAAAATTAACAGGCCATTTACTCACCATGACATTGTACACTGTAACTTGTGTTCATTTTGCTTAGTTCTAGAAATCATGTAATTCACACTTAGCATGAATGTGTAAATTTTTTAATTGCCCATGTAATTATATTGAGGTTCATTTGTGAGCAACAAAGAATTGAAAGTTCTTCATGAAGCTTGTTATCTAAGTCTCAGATTTTGAACTAAGTAGTAAGGTAAAGTTTTTACTGCTGTTCTTTGTTTTTATTTTTATTTTGTTAATAAGGAAAATAAATTCAAAACACCTTGTAACTTTGCAACTTTTCTATCACATTCTTCTATTAAAAAACTGAAAATTTAAGTTAAAAATGCACTATTTACAAATTAGTTTCTCTATAAGAATTATATAGTGTTCAAACTTTTAAATTTATACCTAACATTGGTTAAAGTGTTTCTGTTTAAACATTGAGTATTCAGTAGCAATTGTCTTCCCCATAGCCATAGCCACTCTGATAAGAGTTTAGTAGATGAATTTATCCCTCCCTTCCAACAAAGCAGGTATTGATACAGCCCCACAAATCTCAATAAAGAACTGATGTAAAACCTTAACTTCTATTCTCAAGTATTCATGAAAAGTGGAAGTCAGACCCTTCAGAAAAGCCGATGCATTATCTGTACTGAAAGTAAAAGACAGAGAAACTCATATAGCTCTCTCTTCAACCATCAAAAAAAGAGACAAAAGACTAAAAAGATTGATGTCGTCTATAGCACATTTCATTTTCCTCCAAGTGAAAAACACATGGTAGCTCAAAATGAGAAAAATGTACCCTACCAGAAAGGGAACATGGAGACATGTTTGGAATGTGTATCCTCATAAATTCAATGAGATTTTTCTAAAGCATTAGGCACAAATCTGGAAAACCCAAGTTAATATAATAATTTAAAATATAAATTATACTTAACTTGACATTATGCAAAACAATTTGAGGAAAGATACTTGGACTGTTTAGTGCAAGGATGGAATCTTTACCCAAAACTTCTATGTTTTCAATTAGCTGTTATTTGTTAATTCTAATTGTTCTATGTGGGACTGGGGAAGGGAGATGTGGTTATAATATCAAGAAACAAAACTAAGAAAGAAAAGATGTTAAATGTGAAGGAGAAAAGGCTCATTTCACCCAGAACACCTGACCCGTGAAACCTGGGGACTGGTGTTCCTTGTTACTGATCTCTCATTGCTTTCAAAGCACACTGTAATATCTTTCTTATAAAACTTCTTTGTGATTATGGGGTCACCTTTCCCTCTTTCTTCTCAGCCAGCTCAGCTTTCCTATTTACTATAGGTAGGCTCATCACTCATGAAACTCTTCCTGTCTTATAATATTTTTCTTATTTTTATCTTTCTCCCCTACTCAATTTTATTAAAAATCCCTTTACTCACTTCAGTTCCACAGGTGTCAGTCAACTGGTGCCATTGCATTGCTATAGAAGCAAACTTTAAAAATTTACTTGGATTTCAAATCATGGAAATGAGGCTTGTTTCACTTCTGGAAGGATCAATCAGTGCGGCCCTTAGTTGTCATGTTTAAGGAAAAAGCTTCAAAAAGATGATATAACTTTAAAAAGTTAAAGTTTTGGTCTTTTTTAAATGAATAAACTGAGCTTGGACTCACATACCATTTTATGACTTATGAAAACAGACTACTATGATCTGAAAATTTAAGAAAGTAATTGAAAAATGACTATTTGGTATTCATTTCAATTTTCTATAATAAACCACCGTTTGTAACTTACTGGAAGTTCTTTTAATCTCATACAGTTTATTGCATTTGAATAGAAAGCAAAACTATTATTTTGACAAATTAATTAATATTAGTACCATAGATAAAGAACCAATGGTGGAAAAGGAGATAAACTTCAGTATCTCCCGGTATCCTTCTGTTACATTCACCATCAATTATTTCAGTCTTCATTAATTAGTTATATGAGACACAAACATGTGCTCTTCAAGGAGTTGGCCTCATTATAATTAGATAAGTGTGGCTTCATCAGGACCCACTCAGCATATTGTATAACTCACATACAGGACAGCTTGTAATAACTCCACTCTTCATTATAATTTCACTGCATTGTTAAAAAGGAATGTGGCTAATAGGGAATGACAATCAAATAAAGTTATGTTGGTATACAAGACAAATCATTTTTGAATGAAAAAGAAATAAAAAGGATTCTGAAAGTTCAGAATAAAAGAGCATCAATGTTTTTTTTTTCATTTGATTTAATGGCTTGGTTGTAAATTTAGCTGGACACGAACATAACTTTAAACCTGATGGCAGATGATGTTTATTCAGTTCAGTGGTCACCCAGAGTCCATGTTCTTTTTCTCTTTATACTTTATACTCAGGACTTGAGTAAATGAGTATCTCAATTTATCCAAACAGGGTTTGGGTTTTCAAAACACCTTCAGTCTTGCTCCAATTACTATTTAATATTGGAATTATTACACTGTATGTGTTAACTCAGTTAATAGAACAGTCAGCCAATGTTTCTAAATGGTGGAGTGATATTTAAGGAAATAACACTTTTACACTATTTCTCAAGTTACCCTTTTTGGACCTACATTTTTACCTACAATGTGTATTTAGCACCCTGCCACAGTCCAAATCACAATGTTCCAGGCTGCATCAAGAGAACAAACATCTTCCTGCACCAAAGGGAATGAAACCTTACCTAAGAAGCTGGCCTGTAAGTGATATCAACCTCTCTGACTTAGGATACAGCTCAACTGAATTGTTTTCTCCATGGAGCATGACATACACTGAAGGATAAAATGGATGATTGGTGGCTCCAAGGAAAGAGATGTCATTTTAAGATTGCTTAACTAAAACCTTCTCACAAATTCTTTTCTGCAAGTCAAAATAACCTTTTATAGACTCAACAACTATTGAACAGCTGGAAGATTAAGATGTTATGTTTTGCTTAAAAGATACTTTAAAATGGTGTATATTTTTCCCTTTTTGCCCAGTAAGCCAAAAAAATTAAATGACTCTTTTTAAATTTGTAACAATTTTAGAATATCTTTCATAGAAAAATTATCACAAGCATTTTCAATCTAAGTATTTTTTTAAGAATTATACTCAAAGAATTGTGTGTGTGTGTGTGTGTGTTAGATAACTCATGAAAAAAAAAAAAAATCTATGTAGCCATGCTGTAAATACACAGCATCCTGTCCTCCAAGAGAAAATGAGAAAAAGATTCAAGATCTTTAGCAGAATTTACAATTCCCTGAAGGTTCCGGCTTTTGCCTTTGCAATTTCATTTCATGCGTTTCTCCTCCTCACCCCATAGAATCCAGCCACACTGACCTCTCAGCTCTGCAATTTTATCTAACCCTCTTCTAGCCATTCCCTCTTCCTGGAATGCTCATCTTTTCTCTTTGGAATGGTTGGTTACTTCTTATCTCTGGGGACATGGTTTAAATACCAGTACGGCAATCAGACCTCTGCCTGCCATTTATCAAAAGTGAGAATTTTCCTTTTCCATTTCTATTTCAGCACCTTTTGTGTCTTTCTTAATGTATAATTTACAATTTTCTTTTCATTTTCTTGCCTAATCGTCCACCAAAGGATTGCATATGTCATGGGGGACGTAAAAAGCTGTCTTTGTTCATGTCATAAACTTGTCTCTTCTTAAACTCTCAATAAACCATTCGGTCAATGAACTGATGCCCACAAGGAAGTTATAAGGGAAAATTATAGATTTCTTTATGTTGGTATGCCATTTTTTTTTCCAACTCAAATGCTTAATGTTAGAAAGTGGCCTCCTTTACCACTTTAAAAACAAGGACTTCCAAAGCAATTCATTCTGTAAAAATCAGTTTGTAAAGTTTCAGGGACTCTATCAATTCTGAGTCCTTAAACGGGCACATGAAGCTTCTAAAGTTGATCTCTACAAACCTATCCTATGTCCCTCCCTCACCAGCTTCCCTCTTCAAACTCTACCAATGGCAAGTCACACCAAGCCCTGTCCTAGGACAGAGCAGTCACTCCACAGGAAACAACTGCTGGCAGTTCCCTGCACGTGTTGGCCTGTTTGACTGGTGTCAGAGAAGGCAAAAGAACTTGTCAGAAACCTAATCCATAAGGGTCTCTGTATACATATTAAGGATTAAATTCTTTAAAGCAAGGAGAATCTATGAAGCGCTTTGAACAGGGGAATTATATAGAGAAAGATGCTTAGGGAAAAAAAATGCATCCTTCCTGCATTGGCATAACTTATGTGATCAGTTTGGAGGGTAACTTAACAGCCCACCACACAGGGCGGGGGTGGACTCTGGAAAATATTTCTAGTTGGTAGTTTCTGCTTAAGCTGCATCTTGTACTACTTTCAGTTCTGTCTTTTATGGAGCACATAAGTTTTGAGTAACTTCCAAAGCCACCCAAGTAAAAATAAATCAAGAAGGATTCTGTTTTACACTCCACTTCCCTCCATGTCCTTAGGCAGGAAGAAGCCAGCGTAGGTCTGAATCTTTCCAAGTCATCTGTCTGTGAAGCACCATTGAACTTGCAATGATTTTCATTAGGTATATTTTTCAAAGTAAAATAAACATAGGAACAAACAAACAAAAACTTCACTATTCGGGTACAAGTAATCTTGAATTTTATATTATTTGTTAAAAAAATATATACTAACATAAAACTGGATAATGTGTGTGCTGATACTGGTTACATGTTTCAGAATAAGAAATTCGAGGGCAAATTTTACTATGATTATCAATGAACTCCTGATGAATAAAGTTTTCTAAAAGTCTTTTGATAACTTTTTGAAAATAAGTATGCACTAAATTAATCATGAGTCTGTTTATTTCCTCTGTGGAAAGGATTATTACCTAGTGTTTGGGCTGCTTTTTTAATAGCTTAGGTATTAAAACTTCTTTGTGACTGAATGTCAGCTTGAATCAGTTTTATTCATTTGTCAAAATAATATCAAACTAATTTGACAGCATAAACACAGCATGTGCAAAGAGGAAGGTACATTGTTCTTTAGAGATATCAGGCAGCTATGCAATGACTAGGCATTTTCTGTCTTTTTTTTTTCCAAATTAAATTTCATGAAATCCAAATTTTTTAAAAAATCACTGCTTTCTAAAACTTCCTGAAATCATCTGCAGGTGCTGACATGCTGATAGCCTCTGATCTGAGAAGAACAAAGTTAACATGTCTAAACTGGTTGCGTTTTAGAATATTTTAACATCTGGGCCTCAAGTTAGACGTCATATCAGTAAACCTCAAGTTACTCACACTCAAGTGCTCAGGAGAAGGCTGGGCATGCAAAAGAAGCAGAGGCAATCAGAAGTTTGCAAGAGCAGGCCAGGCGCCATCTGGGCTCTGTAGGAGGACTGGTGGGGAAAAAGGAACACGATGGCATATGCTACAAAAGTACAGATTGTAAAGAAAGGGTAGCACCCTTGTTTTGCAGACTAGTTACTACATTTATGTTGAAAAAAAAAGAGACCTCTGAGGTTTAGGAGAAAGAAAATTCTTTGGTTTCAGGTTAACTGTGTTGCAATTTTCTGTCATGTTGGGGAAGGGGAGGAATGTACCTCTTATTGCCCTAGAGGTATAAATAGGTTCATGGATGTGAATCTTTAACAACTGAAGAAGAATCTGAGAGGAGGAACCACATCTAAAATGTCTCCCACATTCCACAAAGAAATGCAGTGCTGGGCATGTGAGAGTGGCAGAAGCACTGTATTTGGGGCTCAGAACATCTGGGTTTAATTACCATCTGTGTTTCTGTGAGAAAGTCAACCTCTCGGCCTAATTCCTCAACTGCAAAATAAAAGGTGGGTGGGGGTGGGGGGAGTGGAGTGATTATTCCAATCCAGTTGGCTTTCTTAGGGTTTGTGTCAGAATTAAACAATTAATGTATATGACAATGCTATGGAACCTACAAACGGATCCACAGCTGCAAGGTAATGACGTTACACCTCGGAGTAGAAGGGCAACATATTTGTTGATAAACAGGTTTCTTGATTAGGATTTATTTGTGACTCATCCTTATAAGGATTCCTTCCCATTTGTTTTAGGGTTTCTTAACCTCAGTACTACTCACATTTTTAAACCAGATAATTCCTCAATGAAGGGTGGGGTGGGGAAAGTAGGGATTGCCTGTGAAAGGGTACAATGTTCAGAAATACACACCCCACCACTTCTACCCACTAGATGCCAACAGTGATCTCTCCATACCAAGAGTTGGAATAGTCAAAGAAATCTCCAGGCGTTGTCCAATTTCCCCTTCAGAAACCAGCGTGTGTATGTGCACCCGCACACACATGCGTACAAATTTGTTTTGTAGTTTGCAGATCACTGATTTAATTCAGAGACCAAACCTGACTAGTATATTGTGGAAAGGCTGATTGCGTTTTCTTTCCTCTGTCTCTGAATCATACATGATAACCAGGTAGTTATTTGTGATAGAAGGCATGTGTAGAAGGCATGCCACTAATCTGTTTACGTTAATACTTACTTAATCCTACAACAAGTAGGTTCAATCAATCCTCACCTTACAAATGAAGAAATGGAGGCTTAAAGGGTTGAAGTGACTTACCCAGGTTCAAAGTCAGAATGAAGCAGAGCTTATATCTGGATCCTGCTCAGTAGCATTCCAGAGCTTTTGCTCTTTCTTAACCTCTCCTGCTGTACTTCCTCAAACAAAGCAAGATGATCAAAACAGCTCCACTCTCTGATGAACCCCGCCCATCCTTCATGCAGGTGAATATGACTTTAGACCTCAGAAGGATAAAGCATACAGCTATCTAAGGTGGTAGCTGCTTAATAAATACTATTACATAAATCGTGGAACTAAGCAAGGCATAAAAAAATCAGGCATGTCTGATGAAAAACAGTAGGCAAGTCCTGACATATCCATGCATAATTATCCTTTAACTCCATAGAAACCAGTTTTTGTGGAAGAAATTATATTTTCTTTATAAATATTTATGTTTTCTTAATTCAGTAACATGGAAAGAGATGAAGCTGTCCAAAAACAGAAAGTAAAATTGGTAAGAATAGATTGATTAAAGTATATGTTATTTGACATATATAAGTGCCTAAAGCCTTACTATGGGACCAATAAGGTCAGGGCAAGTGCTGTTATTCATTAAGTATCTGCGTGGGTATGTTTTTCCAAGTATTTAACAAAAGAGCTAATGCCAAATGACTTTGTATCTAGGCTCTAGGCTCTTTCAAAATATCAAGTCTGTTGATATTATTACCAAAATTTAGACAAGGAAAAGTTGAGTAATGTGTGTCAAGTCACAGAGTCAAGAGAGCTCAAAAGAGAACTTTAATTACAGAGTAATGTATAACTGGGATCATTCTACATGTACTGTCAATCATTAATGCCCACTGAAAGAGTAACCTGGCTAGCAAAGGTATTTAGTTTCTTAAGTGATCCATCACTGGTGGATGATTCCTTCTCAGCTGACCATGAACAAGGTCATAACTGCTAATCAACTACTAGGAAGTCTGATTTCATTTTGCACAGACTTCTTTTCTGCTCCCCTAAACTAACCAGAATTCCTAACATCTACTATTTGATGTATACATGTATTTCATTAAATAATAACCTTGAATTATTAACATGGTGTCTCTTTCTACCAATAAAAAGATCCCACAGTGTTCTATAGGAGTTAGAAGATCTGACACTTCTCTAGTCTGAGGCTCAGTGTGACACAGGCACACGGAACATGACTACAACTTTGCTTTCAGTTTCCACTCTCGGTATTATGAGGGTTCAGTATTATGAGGGTTCAGTTGTATCTATGAGAGACAATCCTTGGACAAGCACCAGGATCTGAACCCAGAAGGAATTCTATGAGTTAGCTTTATTGTGCCGCATCGAGGCATTTCATCTGATTCAGACCAAGCCTTCAGTGAGACAGGTGTCTGAATTCTAAAAAAAAAAAAAAAAAAAAAAAAACACTGCATATGTCAGGTTCTTTCTGTTGCAAAGGATAGAGACCCAGCTCAAATTTGTTTAAGCAAGATTGAGAACTTACTGTCTTCCTGAAATGAAAAACTTCAGGCAAGAACAACCAAATACAATAAAATTCTGGGACCTCCCAAACCATCTGCATGGAACTTTGAAGTTAAAATCTTCTCATTACTTCATTTCTTAAAAAACATAATATATAAATTTTAAAAATCCACAGTGTACCAGGACAGTTGTTATCTTCATCTTCTAGAAGATAATATATGACATGTTTTCCACTAGTACATTATACGTCTCATCATTGATGGACCCCAGGTGTTGTAAATTCTAAACACTGTGCTTTTTCCAAGTATAATATATCTTTAAAAAACAGTGTTAGACAAGCTTCTTATCCTCAAGATACTCAATAGTGGAAAAATAATAAAGGTCGGAAGGCATAAAAGAAACAGCCTTAAAAGCACCGTTTTGATGAAGAACTGGTTTGTTTTAGTAGTTGCTATGGTTTGGAAGTGTCCCCTGAATATAGAACCTAGTTTTAGGTCATTGGGGGCATTCCCTTGAATGGGAGGGATATTGAACCCCAGTTCCTTTCTGTCTCTGTCTTTACTTCTCAGCCATCAAGAAATGAACAGGATTCTTCTGCCAGGTGTTTCTGCCATGATATGATTTGCCACCACAGGCCCAAAGCAACCATGGGCCAAGTGACCATGGGGCAAACCCTCAAAACAAACTTTTTCACCCTTTAAGTTGATTTTCTTGCATATTTTGTCACAGCAACAGAAAGCTGATTGTCACAATAGTACCCATACATTTTATTTTCATGACAGTAACTCTACAGGACTGTTTCATGATACTTCTATAAAGTATCTTCTATGCAAAGAAAAGTTGATTTTTTTTTATCACCCATCACACTGAATGGACCAATGGACCAAGTTCATGTCGATATTGCCAGTATACAACTGTATGGTTGCTATTAGCAGCAGCAGTGACAAGGACCTTGAGATTAACTCCTAGTTGGGCCCTGTGTACAGCTACAGGATCTCAAGGGCAAGCACTTGGTTGAGTTAATCATCATATCCCTGACTCGGAGCTTAATTTTGGCTGAATTAATGGAGAACAAGTCTCAATGAGTCATAAATTCTGAAGAACAAGTAAAGGAAAAATGGAACTCTGGAGACTTTATGAAGGGCCATGACTATAGAGATTCTTTTTAAGAGTGTAATGAAAATTATTCATTTCTGAAAACTCCTCTTGGTTATAAATGAAGATTACTAATTGATGAAGGACACATATAAGTTACCCTATTGTTGTGCCGATGTCTAAAGTTTCAACAGAATTACAATGGAAAGGTACCACTCCTGACACCCAGGAGACGCACCGCTCCAGATCCCATCTTCCCTCCCATATCAGAAACTTGTTTCATCCAATATCCACTCTTCACTTTCAGGTTTACTCAAAGTAAAATTATAGTCATCACACTTAATGTTAAAACAATTCTGTCTCCTCTTTGTGTCCCCCTGAAACTACTCTTCTTTCTTCTTCCCTTCAGAGTCCAAAGTCTACACTCTTTATCTCCAATTCTTCACCCCTCATCTAATTTTCATTACTGTGACTCAGTTTTCACACCCTCTATTCTGTGAAACTTGTTCCTGCCAGTTTCTGATACCATATGCCAACTTAAAATTCCAAAGTATCATTTTTATTCCTTATGTCACTGAATCTCCTGGTGACATTTGACATTACAGCCTACTCCCTCCTTAAAACTCTCTCCTTTCAGGTCTCTGGATTTCCTCCTATTTATTCATTCTCACTCAGGCCATCTCCTTCCATATACTTCTCTCTCCTGAATAATATTATTCCCCGAGGACCCCTGTCAACAATCTTTGCTATGTACACCCTCTTGTAGGAAATCTCATCTATGCCTAAGCCTTTGATGATTACCAGTGATTAAGTGTCTCACAGTTGTCTGTCTCTTTTGTTTAGCTTTAGACCAATAAATCCAAAATTTAACCGACCACAGGTGTCTGGATTTCAACATGCCCCCAAACAACTGCATTGTATGAAATCCCAACACTTTCAAATCATTTACTACTCCTCCCCAAGAATGCCAGTATTATCTACTCCATCGCCCAAGTTGGAAACCTATGTCACCCCAGGTGATTCTGCCAAATTCTCTCAATATTTTAGATGTTTAATGCATTTTTCCAATCTTTCCAATGTTTGCTGTTACTGCTAAGATATTTCTCCTGTCATCAAAAAGTTTCTTATCTGGTATCCCTATGTACAGTCCCACCTACTCACTTGTCGTCTTTTCCCCAACACCACTTATAAATTCATCTGCCAAACAGCTGTCAAAGGTCATTCTGAAAAGAAAATTCAGATCATGTCAGTTCTGTGTCTGAAATGCTTTGATGGCTCCCCATTGCCTTCAGGATGAAATTCTAACTCCACAGCATGTTTGTTCCACAAGGCTTCTTTATCTGGATCCAGAGCACTTGTGCCTCATCTCATACACCCTTCAGTTAATCTCTGTGTTTATAACTCTAGTTCAAAATAGGTCTTCAAGAAGCATTGAATGAATTGAGAAAAAAATGTCCTTAGGTTTTTTAAAAAAAATGTTAGATGGTCCCAAATTATCTGTAAGAAAGAATACTTTCTATACATAACAGTTTTTGTTCTCAAGCTTAACATGTATCATCTAAAACACAGAGTTCTAATTTTTGCTCCTTTTTTAGGAAATATATACTCTAAGGAGAACATTTAATAAGATATTTAAGAATTTCCCTTCCCCAAAATATATGAGAAATTCCCAAATTTATAAATGGGCTACATTCCAAAAACTCTTTTATAACTTAGCTCTGTGAAACTTGGAATGCATTTTCTCATAGAAACAATGTTTTATATTTTTTTATTTAATTTAGACTTAAACTATTTTTAAAAATGATTTAAAGCAGTATGTAATAAAATACATATGTCATAAGCTTTTAAATAATGAAAGGAAGGTCTATAACAATATATTTGGCCTATGGAAAGTAATTATATCATAAATCCCATAAACCTACACTAACCTAAAACTAAGAAGAAATTTTAACCCTGAAAATTCTATTAATCAATGTGATTTTATAATAGGGAGAAAATAAATGAAAGGTCTTTTTCTTCTTTTTTGCATTTTTCTTCTTTTTCTTTTTAACCTTTTTAATTTATTTTTTACCTCTCTAAGAAAAAGATATAAAGTAATTCAGGAGATAACATTTTCTTTGTAGTAAAACAGCAGAAAAAAAATTTATATGGAATATTATAAGGAATATTTATTAACCTAGTAGAAATAGTTTAGTAGAAAAAGTAGAATTATCACACAACCCATTCTTAGCTCAAGCTTTGATAAAATTGAGAACATATTTGATGATATTCCTTTGAGTGTTTATGTATATAATTTGAGTAATATGTACCTGTGCTCTACCTTGATATGGAATAGACTAATATCAGCCAGCACTTATCACTTAGAATGTGTATGCATGCATTATCTCATTTAATCTTCACGATAACCCTCTGAGGGTAGTATAATAATTAACATTCCCATTTTACAAATGAGAAAACTGAGGTAAACCAGTAAATAACTTCTCAAGTTCTCATAGTTACAGTATTAAAGTTCCCTTTATATTTTTTTCTCTCAAATGAATCATCTCATTCAGAGTTTTAACAGAAGTTCAAAAGAAGGAAATTCAACTTTGAGCTCTCTACTGACCATAAAATGAGTTGGCTCACTTCAACATTTCTAATGTTAGCCATTCCGATATCTTTCTTGCTTCCTGTGCTTCTGTTTATGCTTCTAACCCACAAAAATTG